TGATGTGTTGAACGCATAATTGTGTGTTTATGGTGTTAAGTCTGAGAAGTGTACGGGAAGAGAAGAGAAAAGCAGAAATAAGTGCGATACTAGTTTGACTCGCAAAAATGACCAAAACCGAGTGATATCAGGTGTAGAATTGAGAATTTCAACAATGTCGTATTTCTGCTAATTGCCGACTTTCTCATCGACCCCTCGATCATCACCTCCACTTGAATAAACGTCTGCTGCCACGCCACACGGTTAAACCCACTATCTGCTTACGCCACGTCCATCTTCTACGTCGTCAGGGGTTTTGTCGTGACCCGGATTAAAGAGTTGGCAACTGTTTCGCAAATACAGCAGTTCTGTCGACCGGAGACGCGGAATCAAAGGTTCTACTCTGGAGCCGACAGACCTGGTCAGGGCTTTGGCCAACATGTCGGCTGGTTCGTCAGTCAGCCATATATACGGTTGCTCGCACTCCGCATTCTCGGGCCCAGCCGAACGTCTTTGGTCAGCTGGTGGAGAAACAAGAAACGAGCAGCGCAGCCCTGGGTACAAGAGTCGGTCATCCTATCCAACCGAAATCCTGTAGGAACGGATGGCTTACATAACGATCCAGCTAGTCACGAGATACCCTCACCCAAGGTGCAGAAGCAACAGAGGTCGCAGGTAAAAAGTTGAGAAAGAATTTACAAATTATTTGTTGCTACCCTTTACACTAATAAAAATCAATAGGTAGAAGTTGGGCCCAGCGGGCGACAGCGTAGCTCTCCGAATGGCGTCTCCTCGGATTCAACAATCAGCAAAGTAGTAAACAAAAAAGACAGCTGTAAATGAGAATTAAATCGGTCTGTATCTAGCTTTCTTTGTTTCTTAATAAATGCCTGTAAACGTTACGGAGGCTGATCGGAGATCTACATAGAGATTGATACAGGAGCGAATTCTAAATGCCTAATACACCTTTGCAACCCCAAATGAACGAGGCACCGTACCCCTCTCGGTCAAATTTACACAAGTGTTGTGGTTCTCATTTGTCAGCGCGAGCCGCTTTTCCCTACAGTACGAACGCTCCTGTAGCTCTGATTGGCAGCTGTGGATTCACTTGGTGTTCTTACGGGAAGCCAATCCAGAACGCGAGACTCCTAAATCTCGGACCAGCCTCCGACACGCTTACGGAACGCATCCTCTATGGTTTTATGAGCATTATGTCAGACTCGTGATGGAAAATGCCGAGCCCGTTGAGCGCTGGTTTTGGAAACTTATGGGCTGGTAAAAGATCTATGAACCAGCTGGCTTTCTTGCATATTTCGGTAGTCATTGGGAAAGAACCGGCGTGTTATTTCGAAACTGCCTCGGACAGTGCCTTTGCAGAACTGAGGGTCAGGATAGATACAACTGCATTGGTCAGAGGAGAAGGCTCTGGAGCCTTGTGCAACGTTGTTTTGTCTTCCAGGCTTCATTGGACTCTCGCGATGTTGTACCAGCATGAGAGAACCGATACATGCATTCAAGCCTAACCTTGTCCTCCAATGATGCGCCGCATCCCCAGACTTGCTGGCCAGCTCACGCCGTACCCCGTACACACCCTTTGCTTCCTCTCCCACACCGAATCTCTCCGAAAACACCAAAAAAATATATAGATCGCGAACATGGCCGAAATTCTTGGTATCGCTGGTTCCATCGCGGGCCTCATCACCCTAGCCGCCAGCACATCTTCTCTTCTTGCCAGGATCTCCTCGGCGGAAACACGGCGGCTTGCAGCATCTCTCAACGACCTCATGCCCTTGCTCCGCTGCATCCTCTGCACCCTCGGCTCGCAACAATACCATCCACATCCACAAGCAACCGAAATCCAGCTGCTGGCCGCGCCAGTCGTGGCGTTGTACGCGGTGTTGCGCCGCCTCGACGGCGTCCTGCAGAATCCAGGACATTGGTGGGAGCGGCGGGAGCGGCGGGAGCTAGTCGACACGCTGGTGGGCGAGATTGAGATGGCCAAAACGACGATGGCTTTGGCCTTTGGGCTGGTCAACTGGTATGTGCATCGCATGTTTGGTGCTGGGGTTTTTCGCAGGGCTGACAAATTGCATAGGCGTGCCTTGGAGGCTTTGAGGGTGACGATGGTGGCAGTGCTGGAGGGGCAGCAGCGACTCGGCGCAGTTGCAGGAAATGGTGTGCTGGCTCTGCGGGAAGAAACGAGGCTGCGGGTTCAGGCGGAGATGGAGGGAATGATCACGGCAGAAATCAGGGATGTGTTCAGACGATCTGTGGTTCGCACTGTGATGCCTGCAGCTGGCACTGCTTTTTTTTTTTAGTTCGCTAGAAATATAACCTTATCGTTGGGCGCTAAAGGGGGTATCCGAGAAACGGTGTTTTTTATTTATTTAATTTTTATGCCTTGCAAAACCGCCACAGGAAGCAAATTGAGGAACCTCCCTCCAGTGCCAGAAATCCGAAAACTACCCTTTCACCAATTGTCTGTACAAACACAGTGTTTGAGGCGTCCGGCGTCCAGGACCACCACCATGAAAATCCAATAGTTATGACAGAGCGGCGCCGCTCGCATAATGAAGCGTGTGATCACTCTTGGAATTTTCGGGGTTTCAGAAAATTCGATTCTGGTTATACCGTTGCCTTGAAAAGCAAACCAAACCGCCCGAGTCTCTTCCCCTAACCGCGGCGTTGATTGCTTGCACCTCGTCCATCACCGAACGACGGGTTAACTTTAATACAAGGCATCCTGCATCACCGCTCACTCGGCACCCCATCATTTATCCCCCCGCTGTCAAGTGCACGTGAACTAGCTTGAATTCTTGCTGTTTACTCCCGCGCCCGTCTCGTGCACCAGCTTAAGTTCACCAGCTCCTTTGACGCTGGCCGACTGTCCATCTGCAGCAAGATGGAGGGGCGCGCGAGGTCCGCGGAATCGAACGGCCGTGGCCGTGGTTTGTTTCGTTCAGATTCTGCGTGGTAAATGGTTTGCGCCGTACGGTTTCGTGGACCGCCGTTTGCCCGGAGATACCATCATGTGATGTACGAGTACGTCCACCGCGGGGCCCAACGAACGAACCAGGCCATGCTCGGTGTTTTCTACCGGCGTTCGTTCGTGCGGGCAGCGGAGGTGCAAACAGTCTCGACTACGCAGGTACGAGTACAGTCGATGCGACGACTCGCAAAAGTGCGTTGCCGCAAACAAAAGTATGTATGTGTATGTGTATGTACATCCGTTTGCGCGCGTATCCACGTATCCGCATACCCGCATCCTCGACCTCTCCACACCACGTGCACCCCGTGGCACACCGCCGTTTGAACGCACTGCGCCATAAAATCTTCCATCTCTTCCATCCGTTCCTCTCTCTTCACCTCTCTCTCCCTATCTTCGATCTTCACTGCTCTTTATCATCCCAACACCAACAATGTCTCAACACGTCTACTGGGACGAGCCTTCACAACGCTGGATCGACCCCCGCGACCCACACCGCCCCATCCATCATCCAGCGCCACCACCACACCCACCGCCACCACCGCCTCCGCCTAACGCTGCCGACGACGACGCGCAGCTCCAGGCCGCGCTGGCGTCGTCGAATGAGGAGGCGGAGCGAAGGTATAATGAGGATTTGAGGATTGCAATGTTTTTGAGCGGGGGCGGGGGCGCGAACGGGGGTGGGGGCAGGAGTGGAGGTGGTAGTGGGAGTGGGAGTGGTAGTGCAGGCAGGAGGGGAGGCAGCGGGGGGAGCGGGGGAAGTGGCGGCGGCGGCGGGGGGGGCTGGCATCGCGTACAGCGGCTCGCCGGTGGGGGCCCAGAGGCGGAGGAGATGGCGGTCGCGAGGGCGGTGGCGGCGAGTGTTGAGAAGGGGAAGGGGCGGGCGCAGGTGCGGGGTGGCGGGCAGGCGGAGGGGAGCGGGAGACGGGGCGAGAGCGCAGGTGTGGGTGCGAGAAGAGACGGGGATGGACGCGAGCCGACTATTCAGGAGATCCGGGAAGCGCGGATGAGGCGGTTGCAGCGCGGCGGACATTGGTAGGAGTTGTAGTAGTATTAGAGTAGAAGTATCCAATACAATACAGATTATTAAAGCATCTAGCTAGCCAGAGGCTACAGTGCAGTGGTAGCTGATAATTGGCGAGCTTGGACTGAGCGAGTGATTCAGTACGAGAATCTTGATCTTTAATTAAAGACCTACTCAGTTGGGATCCAGATATTTACGAGAATACAGAGAGTATGCTCCACTTCTGTACACGTGCACCTTCTACCATTTGTATCCCAAGTCTCACTCGACGCGCAATTCCATCTGTGCCGCGACGGTTCTAGAAGTTACCTGTAGCAGTCTCATAGGAACGACCTCAGAGCTTCTTCTCCTCGTCGGGACAGCTAATTTCAGTAATATTTGTTGAACGTATAGTATATGCTCAGTGGCATAGATGTGTGTATTGTACATAATAAGCTGAGAAGAGCAGAGCAAGAGTAGACATAAGGGCGAGAGAGCCGCACATGACCAAAACCGAAACGTCGGATGCAGGATTGCATACGTCAACAATAGTGAAGCATGGCCAATTTACAGATTGTATCGCCATTTTATTCAGTGTTGCCAAGTATTCGACGACGCGAGGCTCCGACAAAAACGGTCAACTGAGCTGTGGTTTCTGCGAATTTCATGTATTCGCTGTTTGTACTTCATCAAATATGCATTCCCATCTCAACCCCCGTCCACGAAACAATACCAACAAAGCAACAGGCCCGCCGGAGATCTTCACCGCCACTATCCCATACCATCGACTGAGCCCGGCCTTTGATTCAAGATCATATCTTCACGATCCTTTCTATGTAGCTGCGGCCAGCCGTAACTGCCGTTCCCCCTTCCCCTCAGCCGCACTCGAAGATTCGCAACCCCAGTTCACCGTGGTGGCTCGAAAACTTATACCGGTGTTCGACTGGCGCCACACACCAGCGTTTCACACAGCCACGACAATCGATTACGCTGGGCATTGTAGAATGTTGGGTTGAATCTCTGACATCAATCTCCGGTATGGTGTAGTGGCTAGCATTTTCCGCTTTCAATTCGATCTGATCGAGTGAACAGTCCCGGGAAGACCCGGGTTCAATTCCCGGTACCGGAATTACCTTTTGCCCACGGCATCCATGCCCCAAGACTGGACTCCTCAAGCAGCGTAGTTTGTCCGGCTTGTTCATATCCTGGGTGATGAACTTGGAGTTTTTGGTATTTCGGAAGACAGTGGGTGGAATGTTTTGTCTTGGTTGTGTTTTAGTGTCTAGTGTTGCTGGACGCCGGGTATCATCATCCACGGAAGCGCATCGAGTGAGATTTGGTCATATCAAAGGTGATCTATTCTGCAAAACAACTGTAAAAGTTTGAATGAATTCTGATATTTGTGAGCTGAGATGTACGTCTTCGGAATATGCGCCTAGAGAGAAAATTTGAATAGTGAATTGTATTACATTTTAGACTCTTTTCCGCTCAGGAGAATTGCGTCTTGGCAGCGGTCTGGAATTTGACCTCACGTTCTGCCAGCCTGCGACTCCAGGTGCTAGATGCATCGTTTAAGAGTAATCAAAGTTTGATGTTGAATGAAGATGGTAACTAGAGTATCGGCGAAAGCAAGAGTGGAGGGAGATCTCTAGACAGAAGTATTTGCACCGGTGATCACTCGATTCCGTGGCACACGCCATCGATATCATTTAAAATGGTTTTCTACTTTCTTGCACAGTTCACACTACCTTCAAGTTCTGATCCACAGAAAATCGCTCATTTTCAGCAAGTACAAGATAGGATGAGACGCTTTGGAATAGAGGTATGGTGCAGGCGGCCTTAAAAGGGGTGCGCCAAGCAGGGGCGAGTGATGGACCAAGATACGGTGCTTGAAGAGTAAACGCTCGATTTTAGATTGTTTTCATCTTTCGATGGCTTCTATATACATGTTTTCTATAGCCTTCGATTTTTTCTTTTACTGTACGGGCAGTGAGAAGATGGCGGCGTTGTCTGGTAGGAATAGGCATGGAGCTAGAGGCAGGGTAGTGACATCTCACCTAACATAATAATTGAAGAGTCAATCGCTTATATGTTCGGTCGCAACTAGCCACTGGTGGCAAACAAATTTTCCGGATCACGGATATCACTCACCCCCCCAACCCGGGTACTCCACACTAAAAACCCACCTACCCCATTCCTCTCTATTATTACAGTTAAACTCCATCTTTAACAAGCTCTTTATTAGCTTATAGAGCTTAGCTATCTCTATCACAATATAGAGCAACATTCAGGGCTGAGTAATATCGTTTTTGAGCAGAGAGCGACCCCGTATTACACCCGTTTTAAGGCCGCCCGCACCATACCACATCTAGAACGTATGCCGCATCACGGACGGAACCTAGATGGCCGACGAGAACTGAAATGATGGTATGCGCGGCGGGCGGGGTGTGTAGTGGCGTCAAGTGAAATGGAGTGGAGTGCAGTATCACACGGGAGATCGGGGCCTCGGACGAGTCAGTGGTTGGGACCGGCAGGCGGGCGCAGACGCGGCGTGGATCCAGAGCTCGATACTGCACGCAGGCCGTCTCTGCAAAATTATGCGCGTCTCATGCGTTCACTTCCTAAATGTCTACAATTCCATGGCTGACAGTGGACATGGGTAGGACCGCGGCATACGTTCATATCTACCAAGCGCCACCCAGGCCTCTCCTCCTCCACCCAGCCTTTATCATTCTCGTGGTGCTCGTCGTGGTGCTCATGGTAGTCGTGGTGGTCGTGGTGGTCGTTGGGTTCATCGCACTCGTCGGGCTCCTCGCACTCGTCGGGTTCGTCGGGCTCCTCGAGCTCCTCGAGCTCCACGTGCTCCATGTGCCCCTCGAGCTCCTCCTAGTGCTTCTCGGGATTCTCGAGCTCCTCGAGCTCCTCGTTTTCCCCGTGCTACTCGAGCTCCTTCCACGCCTGGTCGTGCTGGTCGTTCTGGTCGGGCTCGTCGTGCTGGTCGTTCTGGTCGGGCTCCGCGTGCCACTCGAAATCCTCGAGCTCCTTCTGCTCCTCCTAGTGCTCTTTGTGCTCTTGGTGCTCTTGGTGCTCGTGGTGCTCGTGGTGCTCCCCTTTATCGTGCTCCTCGAGCTCTTCGTACTACTCGTGCTGGTGGTGCTCGTCGGGGTCCTCACGGCCCTCGTGGTCCTCCCTCTCCTCATTCCCACCCTCTCCTAGGCTCATCTAGGCGCATCCACCAAACAAGCGCCATCAGAGCGCACTTCCCAGCGCTACGGCCACGCCACGCCACGCCGACACCACACAATGCACCCCAAGATTGCACCGACTCTATGGCGCCGATTTCGAGTATCTCAGCGTGCCGGTGATGCACTCTAGTGTATTGAACATGTACATCGCTGTTGGCCGACTGTACAGCTGCAGCACGGGAACGGCGCGCACCGGACATCTTGGGGCTGCAGGCGGGGGGCGGGAGAGGCGGGCTAGACAGGCTTAATTACTTCAGCGTGCCAAAGCGTTGCATGCGGATGGCCGATGCTTCGGCCATGACGTTTCACGGCGCCGTATGTTTGAGTGTAGTTTTATTAGTAGGAGGAGGATGTTTGTAAGGCCTTGTTCGATTGATCAGAGAGCAGGATCGAGGACGCAGAAGAGTAAAGACGGATCCAACCCCGAGAGGCTGGGCCAGGTACAAAGCGACGATCAACAAACTCATGATCGAGTGACACATTGTGCCGGTTCTCACCACAACCGATCCCGCCGTCACTGAGCCAGAAGAAAGCAATTGCACGACGCGCGGCAAAACAGCTTTGTATTGTATAGTCCCGACAGCGTTATGTAACATCGGGTTTTGTATACGAAACGAAACGAACGAACAGACAGACAGACAGCTAACTACAGCGACAAAAGGAAGGACATGAAAAACATGAAACCGCGGTCCGGCGCCCGGCCGGATTCCTCCCCCGCTCCACCCCACCGCACAGACCCAACACCCAACCCGCCCGCTCGCCCACCCAGCTCTTTTGCGCCCACTCGCGCCCTCCCACCGGCCCACCCGCCAGCCTTGTCCGCGCAACAGTAGTGCCTACAACGCCTTAAACGTCGACCCAATCGGGCCAAACTTAATATTGCTGTACGTCACACTCGCAGAGCCATACTGGCTCTCGACATCCTCCGGCTTCCCGCTGCCCTCATCACAACTTCCCCTCGCCACACCGGGGGTGCTCGGGTCCTTCTCGGGCGGATAATTCGAGTCCAGCCACAGCATATTCGCATAATGGTCGTCCCACAGGCTCATGACCAGCACCATGCCGCCGCCCAGCGCGGAGCTCATGCTGCTGAACCCGCCGTGCTCCTTAAACGGGTCGACGTCGCCGAACGCGGCCTTCTGCGCGTCGCAGAACGCGGGCGTGATGGAATTCCCCGTCACGCCGTCGATCTTCGACTCGCTGTTCGCGATCGTCTTGCCGTTCTGCACATAGAAGCGCTTGATCTCGGTCAGCGGCGACCCGATGAACTGCGTCACGACCGTGAACTTGCTGCTCGTGTCGACGGTGCCGCCCTTGCCGTAGAACCCCGTGTCGCCCATGCGGTAGCTGTTGAAGTCGCACCCGTCGGGGTCGCAGGTCCCCGCGTAGCGCGTCCCCGAGTACGTCCCGCCGCAGTTCTCGCCGTCGCACATGCTCTGCGCCACGCTGTCGCAGCTGTGCGGCGTGACGGCGGTGGACACGCTGTTGGCCTCCCACACGTCCATCTCGGCGCAGCACGAGCCGTGCCCGCCGACGCCCGCGTTCGCGTCGTTCTCGCTCGGCTCCCAGCCCTCGACGTTGCCGAGGCCGTTGATGAACTTCAGGTCGCGCGGACACTGCCCGTCGCAGTAGCCCGTGCCGTACTTCGCGCCCGCCTTGTTCGTGCTGTACTTCGCCAGCCCGCCGTCCGCGTCCATGCTCACAAAGTACAGCGCGCCGTTGAGCCCGCACGGCAGCTGGCTCACGTCCACGTCGAACGTGAACTCCTTGTTCAGCAGGTTGAACATCTGGTACTTCGTGTCGCTCTCCATCAGGTACAGCCGGCTGCCGATGTTGGTCCCGTACGTGCCCTTCGTCACGAACTGCAGCTTGAGCGAGTTCCCGCCGGCGGTGATGCCGTACGTGCCGCTGTAGTCGGCGCCGTCGACTGCGCAGTTTGCGGCGCATGCGCTGTTGGAGGGGCAGGCCGTGGCGTTCCATTCGTTGCCCGTGTAGCAGTTGGTGTAGCCGTTCTTGTCGTGCACCCAGCGCCAGTTGGCGTCGATCACGACTTTGCCGGATTTGCTGGTGCAGGAGGTGCCGCCCGTGCCCGTGCATTGCTGCCAGGTCATCGACGGGTGGGTTTCGGTTGTTTGCGTGCCGGCGAGCTGGGCGAGGGCCCGGGGGAGGAGGGGGAGGAGGAGGGGCCAGAACATGGCGGCGGCGGTGGGGGGGCTGGGGGTGGATTTGTGGGGGGTGCCGATGGGGCGAGGAGATAGAGGTAACCGTGAGGTGAGGGAGGAGACACCAAGGCTGGTGAAGAGCAAACTGAGTGCAGCGGCGGCGCGGGTTTAAGTACCTTTCTCTGACTCTCTCCCTCTATCTCCAAGACTATCTTCATCATGATTATCATCAAGTCTCTGTCTTCATCTCTCCATCGCGGCCCGACAGGCCGTGAGTGGGCGGTGCGGGGTGGCGTTCGTCTCGTTCCCGGACCGGCGGCCCTACACGCTCCTCCAGACTCTTACATGGCGTCCCCCCAGTCACACCTACACGTGCAGCTGCACGAATAAACAAACCCCCTCAACGCACCCACAACGAGTACTACGAGTACTTTGGATACACCGCGCGTAGAAATCAAGGTTTTGAAACTTGGGCCTTGGTACTTAGTGTCTGCGATTGGAGGAGGGGGAGGGACATGGAGGATCCGCGGGGCCGCTCGGCCATACGATGTGCGGGACGTAGTGGAGGAAGTGGAGGGACGTGGAGAGCGGTACCGTCGATCCGACGGCCGCTCGGGAACTGGCGAGAGATGACAGGAGTGCGTATATTAGTGGCGCCGCGCGGGGACCGGTGAGATCTACAGCTTGCGTCATGTCAGCTGTTGCAGCTGGACATGTCTATG